CCTGTGAAGAAGCCATTCTTAAGAAACATGATGATTGAGGTATCCCAAATTGCACAAGAACTGGACTGAAAATCGATAGCAACAGGTGTGATGAAGTCACGAATCCAGATTTTACATCATCGGTATGTGCACAGGAGGTCAGGAGAGAGGTACAACTGTGAGTCTGCAGTCACTTGTAAAACGCAGTGGAGCCTCTGTCATGGTTTGGGCTGTATTGCAGCCAGTGGTGTTGGAGATTTTGCCAAAATTGAAGAATTATGAGCACAGAAAGCACCACCAGATTTTGAGCACCATGTAATATCATCTGGAAACGGCTTCATTTTTCAGCAAACAGACTGCCATTGCAATAAAAGCTGTTGTGGATTGGCCTCCTTTGAGCCCTGACTTCAACACTGTAGCAGTGTGGAATCATTTCGACAGAGAACAGAACAAAAGGCAGAAATATCCAAAGAAGAGCTTTGAATGTCCTTCAAGAGGCCTGGAGAACTATTCCTGCTTAAAGAAATGTAAAGACTAAGTTCAGACTGTGTTGAAGAATAAAGGTGGTCAAACTGAATATTGGCTTCTAAGCTACTCTGTATAAAGTATATTATAAATCATCACATGCTTTCATTACATCCGTTTAATTATAATAAACTTTCAGCCCATCACCAGTTTCCTCCAGGAAGGAGAGAAAATCAGCGTGAGTGAAGCAGAGCCAGCCCTGAAAACTCTTTATGTAACGGTTTATCTATAAAATGTCAAAAAATGATGAATATATTCAGTTTGCATTTACATAACAGGGGGCAGAAAATCATTAGAGCTGTGAAACAGGAACAAGGAAATTTGAAGCATGTTTGCTTGAAAAATTGCTTCAATTAGTCATCAGGTTAATTCATTTTTCACTCCATCAACTAATTAGATAATCATTTCAGCTCTAGAGCACATGCAGAGATAAACAGTGTCTACTCTCCCCCACATGCTGTACTTTCCCTTCACTCTAATTTGCTACTTTTTCTCCTCTTCCACTCTCATCTCTCTGTCTTCTCTGTGTCTCTGGTACTTTGCGTCTTTGCTTTTCTGTCCGCGCAGGCAGATGCAGACGCGAGGCCCGGAAGCTCATATAGGCATAAACACACACCCACTTACTTTAAAGGGCACATGCATTTTGATTCCTGGGTTATTTAATGTGCTTTGCTGTGTTGGGAAATTTATGCTCTTACCTACTGAGCACAAACCCTGTTTCATTGCTAATTTATACATCTCTCTCTCTCTCTCTCTCTCTCTCTCTCTCTCTCTCTGTCTCTCCTCACTCCACCCACACAATCATCTGTAGTTAGTTATTCAGCTCATGTACTTATTCTGCTTCGACACCCCCGCATCCTCCAAACCCTGGCAAAGTTTTGGCTCTACAGCAGAAGCCCTAACGCACACTCACACCCCTGAGTTTGAACACAAGCGCACACACACGTTTTTTTCAGATTAAAGCTAAACAGCATGGAAAGCCTCTCAGAAATACCTTTCAGCGGCTGATTGATTGATTGAATGGCGCACTGAATTGTCCCCTGCACGTACGCCTGACGCCATTAGGCAGTTTTCCAGACAGACCGAAGGCAAGCACTCAGCGCTTAAGAGCCATTTCTGTCTATTACACACGCCACCATCACTCAGTCAGCAGCTTGGTTTTCAAAACGGGTGATTTGTAGCTACTGAAAGACGTAGCGCCCGAGTAAAATGTGTGATTATTTTTTTTAAAATTTATTTTAAATAACAGGTACCTCCCTGAACACTTGCAGACTTCACTTTACTGCACTTGAATGTCCAACTGTTTAAGAAATGGATGGTGCTGATGCTGAGGAGTCTTTTGCATGTGTAACAAATGACCATTGAGCAGCAAAGCTTCAATTAGAAACAGGATTTAGTGCAGCACAAGTTTGTTTTATTTATTTATCGAGGTTCAGTTCACCAGCTTAACGTGGCAGCCTCTACCAG